GGTGGGAGGGGAAGGGGCGGGCGGTGCTGAGGGATGGCGCTGTCACCGTGCCCTCGGGGGCCCGCTCTGAAGTAGCGACGGACGCACATCTCTCTCTCTTTTCCTTATCTTCCCCCCTCCCTCCTCCCTTTTTTTTTTTCTTTAATTGGATGTCTCCTCGTTATTTTTCAGGCACCTAAAACGCTTGTTCTGAAGCGTATACCCTTGTCTTCCAGAGTTAGCCGAAACCTATTCCAGCTTCGGAGCGTTGCTCTAGCGCTTCTTGAGAAGCGGTTGTGCTTCCCCCGCCCCTCCAAGGAGCGGTGAGAGGCGAGAGCGAAAAAAAGAAAAAGGAAAAAAAAGTGTAATTACTGGTCAGACTTGGACTTTATGTAGTGTACCTAGGCAAATTTGCAGTGTGAATAAGTACCTAGTACGTCTGTAGAATATTTAATCTCGTTTTTCCATTTCAGGTCCATGCAAGGCAGGATCACAGCACAAGCATTCGGTTTTGACCAGCAGTTTAAGCCCTACCAAAAGGATGAATTTGTTATGGTAGTTCTAAGTCCTTTACATTTGAAGTTGACTTTTTTCCATGAAACTATAGCTATTGGAAAGCTGCATAATGGCAAAAGTAGCAGTGTTAACCTGCTATTTGCCTGTTTGCTGTCTCCTTGAAAGTAGGTGATTTAGGTGTGGTGCTCAAGTCTCACTTTGTGGGTTGGCTGTATTGTCCAGTAAAAATATTTTAGTCTGTACTAATGTTACTCTGTTTTAAGAGGGAACAATTTAGTCATTCAAGATTCCTAAGAATGCGAATCTGAACTGGATGCTGATCTTGGCCACCACATTTAATGTTTGGAAGTCTGCCCAGAGGGGGAGACTTTAAACAGTGTACATGCAGTTGGTACCCTTGATAACAGCTATTACGGCTTTGTCCCAGTAAGTACACTGTACAATTAGATGTGCATATGCACCAGATATCTGCAAATACAAGATTTTAAAATTAATTTTATTCTATTTCTTTATACTGGAACTTTGGATTCTCAGCTTTTTGAGACTCAAGTCTCTTGGTGATTTTGTGTCCCCCACCTTTGTTGTCTGCAAAGTCAAATCTGTTCATCTGTTTGCAGACAGAAAAAAAAAAGAATAATCTGTGATTTTAAAAGCAGTGTGTTTGTTACATCTGTTGTTTTAAAAACAGCTCTTTGATTTGTTGTATATCTACTTTATATAGTTATCCTGGATAAATAATTTAGCCTCTTTGTATTTTAAAGAAGTTCACCCAGAAATACACCAATATTTCATCTCCCACCAATAAACATTTAAAATAATTGAAGTTTACAAAATACTCTTACCTTCTCAATGCTTGTCTGTTTTGAATTAAAAATGTAAAAATATCATTATGAGATTATGAACTCTGAGTAGCTGTGAATTGAGAACAAAGGGACCATTACATTATATAGTGTGATCTCTCTATGTTCCAGAGAGGTAGTAAAAAGATTTGGTGATGCAGAGACTGAAAAATCCGTTGTGTTTTAGCAGCTTCTTCAGTGACTATTCACTCTGCTTCTGTACATATACATAAGTGTGAGTTTTCTTAAGTGGCTTATCTATCATTTAAATTTGTCAAGTACCAACATTACTATGCATGTCTCCTTTTTTTAACTGACGATAAGATTGAATACTTCAAATCTTACTGTGGAACACCTCCATCCCTTCAATAATTTATGAATTTATTCTGTATCTGTTTAAGATTTTTGTGTGTCTCTACATTTCCACAAGCTTCAAATTTAGTTACAAAATGTAAATTTTACTATCATACTTGGAATTTCAATTTTTCCTTCGACAAAATTGCATGCAGACATAGAATTGTTTCATCTCTTCTTTCATTTTCTGTACCTACAAGGATTTCATTCAACCTTTTTGTGTGTTCTTAAACTAAAAATACTATACTGCAAAATCTTAATACTGCATATATAAACATGTACATGAAGATATCTTGTATATATAAAAGACACTGGCTAAACTAAGTTACAAAAACATGTATTTGGTGATGTGATACTTAGTAGCCAAGCTGAAAGATCACACAGAATCTGCTTACTAATTTGATCCTTATAATTTGCTTTGAAAGTATCCAAGGCACTATAAATGATGATTTTAGGTTTAATTTCATTAACTTGTATTCTCTTATTTGAATATTATAGGCATTTTTTAACGATCAGAATGTGAACTCCAGTTTAAAGTTGCTCTCAGCTTCAGGACAATGGACTGCATTGGGTAAATTTAGAATAAATTAATCTTTAAAAGTTGTAACTATTGTAACTATTTTCCTCTAATTTACCATTTTGTAATAGTGACAGTTCATGTATGTGTATCTTCACCGCACTGAAATATCTTAAAGAATGACTTATTTTACTTAATAAGAAAAGATTACTACCTAGTTTGTTACTAAATTGTCACATGGCACCTTTTTTTTTTCCTTGACCTCTGCATCAATCCATAAACCATAATCCATAATTTTTAATGGTCTGTGACATCCAGTTGACCTGATCATGTTTCCAGACATAATCAACAGCATTAATTGTTAAAGCATTAAAGGTTGGACTAGAGGATCCTTGTGGTCCCTTCCAACCTGGTATTCTATGATTCTATGAATTGTGGAATTATGGTACTACCTTATTCAGATAATATTTGGAGAAAGACGCACTTGTAGAAATGCAACCACCTTACTTAGATCGGATATGACATTATTGCTCTGCTACAAATAAAAGTTGAGAGAGCAGAAGATTAAATAAAGCACACCTCTGAGCTTGTGTAAATACGGTATCTGCACAACAAAGATGATCTAGGCACAGAGAGAGAGCAGTGGGGTAGGTTGCTGTAGTTGCAATTGTGGCATAAGGTTGACTTCTAGTTTGTTGTCATATCATTAACTGTTTATGACACCTGATTATGTCTGCAGGTGGAGATGAGACACTAAAGGAGAAAGATATAAAGCAAATAGCACATGATTTTTTGGAACCATTTTGATATTGCATTTTGGATTATGTAAATGACATATGAAATTTCATGGAAATTGCATGGGATAATGTAGTGGGATGTTATGCATAGAGTGAGATCTGATATTGCCAGAATTATTTTTCTTAATGGGAATATTTCAAAAGGGGGTAGTGGGAAGTCCTCAGTTCTTTAGGTTTGTCTGCAAATACTTTACTGTGTGTAAATATTTAATGGAGCTCTGGGATTTTTCTAACTTTTCCATTTCAACTCTCTGGAATTGGCATAGGTTTTCCCCACTATATACAATGACACTAGACATTGCCACCTTTTTGTCAGCAAAATTCATTTTCCAAACACTGTCTCCATCTGTTAAAACAATTGAAATATATAAGATGCAAAAAATATCTTAAGCTCCCCTTCAGGTACCTCTTTTTCACTCTGTCAAACAGAAATAAAATTTATATATTTCAAACCGTGGGTAAACCTTTTCCTGCTTTAGGCAAGAATTGTTTTCGGCTATTGGTCTAGCCTGTGACTCGCCAGTCCCTGCAGTGAAGGTCAGTAGGTTACATACCTTGTGTTAAGAGGGGAGGGTCACTTGCCAAGTATCCCAGCTTAACTCCTGATTCTGTTCAGTCTTCCTCAGCACATAAGTAATGCGTTTTGTTCTGAGGACTGGAAGGCTTCCCTTTCTAAATCCTGAACAGCTGGTATACCCCATTTGTTCTTAAAATTTCATCTTCCCATTCTTTGCCTATTTTTGGTGAGGAATGTTGGCACATTTTTCTATACTTAATCTTCATGTGCATTTTTTGAAAATATAGTAAGAATTAGCTGTGAGTGGGAGGAGGTAAAAAATAATCTAGTATTTTCTTCTTCAGACATGCCGATACATTAATCCAGATATACCATTTACTTATCACTGTGGAGTAACTATTTTAAAAACTCGTTTAAAAAGTTCATTTCCTTGAAAGAAAATACTGGAAATGGGCCTGTTTTGCTTTTTAGTGAATCCAAAGAAAACTGCATAACCTAGGTTGATTCAAATACTGTATTTACTCTTTTGCAAACCAAAACTTTTAAGTTTTTTCTTTGCTGTGGAGGGAAGATATTTTGGATGCATAATATAAGTGGAGTTTCAGTAGGTCCTTAGGAACTTCCCTACTCCTCCCTGCCATCAGCTTGGGCAGAAAGAATTTATGGACCCACAAAAAGATGTCAGCATTATATAAAACATCAATATAATTTTAATTTACAAGAGCGTTTGTTTTCATAATCCTTTCGTCTTTTTCCAGGCTTTGGTCCCCTCTTACCTTCTCACTAAAAGTTTATGTTTAATTTAGTGAGTGTGGTTTCATGTTCATATTTATCTCTACCTCCTCTCTGTTACTTTTCTATCCTCTTTTCCTAAAATCTGTTTCGAAAAGTTCTTTATTACATTTTTTTCCTGTGTCTAATCTTTTTATTTTCTTCTCTTGACTGTTTTTCATCCTCACCTCAATATTATCAGACCTTAATATCCTCAGTCTCTCTCAATTAGATCAAAAGGTGTCATAAAACTTGGGGTCCCCAAGGAATGCACCATGTACCTCTCTCCCCTGGTGCCTCATGTGTTGGGATTCCTGGTAGAATCCCACAATAGTACATTGTCTCAAGGACTCCAGCTTTAACATTACTTGAAAGATAACATTTCAGATAAATACAATATGAGGATATTCTCTAGTCTGCTTCATTTTATCAGACAGTTAATTAATTACCTATTCTCACACCACACTTTTTTTTGCCTGTTGTAATAAGGATGTTTTTTCCAACTGCTTGACAGTGTATCTGGTAGTCTCGTCATGTGCTTTAAGTTGCCCCTCCCTTCATCTCTTACTCTCGTATTTCTAAAATAGAAGCAGCAAAAGGAAGACATTAGATGCATACCAACTCATGTCTTCAGTCTTGCATTTTTAAATAGGGGTAATGAAAACTAAACAGTAGTTTTTCCTTGGACACATTGCTGGCCCTGCACCTGTCAGCAGTCTTGGGGAGGCAGGACTGTATCTGCTTAAGCTCAATTAACACTTGGGAAGTTATCTTCAAAGGAATAGGGTTACTGTCTCTTTTTTTTGTAAATAAAAAGTCTTTGCCTGTGAAAGATTCTTAAGTTGCTATATGTACTTGAAGCTCTAATGATTGCTGCCTTTGGAATGGGCTTTTAAAATCTGGAAGGTAATCTTAAATCAGCAATTTTTCAGACTAGTGTTACGGGTTATCATTTGCAAAAAATTTAGATGTCATTTGAACCTATAAATCATCAACCTACATCTTTCACTTTTGAAATACCATCTTTTTAGTACGGAGCACTGAACTTGAATTATGTATGTTCTGTGTAAACTGTTTTGAAAATAGTAAGTTTCAAGAGGTTTCTCTGAAGTAAAAATCTTTCTTAAACTTTGGAGGAATTCTAAATATACCTAATCTGGGGTTTATCTGTCACGTAATAGATATGCAGTGTGTTCATTTCAAAGTATATTGGCAGCACACTATAGATATTCCAGAAGTAGCTGTTATAAGAAGGTTAATCTGCTTCTGTACCTCTGCTCTTTGATTTCCAATTGCAGAGCAGTCAAGGCATTTCTTCTTCCTATAAGACTTTTACAGTGTATTAAAACTGGTCCCTCTTTTCCAGGAAATTCTGAATCTCCAATTTCATATCTCACCTCTCAAATGGAGAACAGAAGCTTCCAGTATATTTAAACTTTTCCATTTATAGTTTGGTTTTCTGAACTACTGAAGAGATTGCAAAGCTCTTGATTTTTTTTTCCTGATAAAAGTTTTCATAAAATCTTGTTTCAGAGCAGAAGTGTGTCTCCTTTCCTCCCCCTTCCCCAATAAAATACTAACAACTTTAAGGCCTATAAATAGCTATATTTCTTATATGTTGAGTTCAATAACTGGGAAAATGTAAGATGTCTCTTTCTTCTCAAGTAATTTAACATCTGATTTTTGCCAGTTTTGACTCAGTTTTTGAGTCATTGGTCTTTACAAAATCATTTCTATGTTAGAGACTGATTTAGTTCTTATTAAATCTCTTACAAAATAAGAATTCTATCCCTTGGAAGGGAAGCTGAAGGATTAGAAATTAGAGGAGTCTGGATGTGAGGGGGTGGAAGCAAGCAAGCAAGCATAAATACTTAAAAATCAGTTTGTTTTTTCTTAGGTTGTAAGGCTGTGAGTTATGGGGTTTTTTCTGACTTGTGATTTTGGTTACATAATTTGATTATTTTTTGATAGTCACTATGTGGACAGGTGGGAAAATGTCCTAAAACTTTTTTTCTTTAATAAATGATACCCTTTTTCATAATCATATCTGTAGATGTGAAGTCAAGCAATTAAATGCCAAGATTTTCTCTATAGGTGATTTTCTTTGCATCCCATTGGCCCAATAAAATAATTTAAAAATTTAATGCCAGTATTTTTAACTTGAGTAAACACATTTTCAAACCATCAACTTCTAACTTCTGTTTAATTTTTTTCTTAGTGTTGATCAGGTAGGTGATACAGTTTACCTGGGTTTAAATACCAAAATGCCAATCCTACTTCACCTACGAAGAAATAATCTCCATGTAATAATATAAGGGAGAGATCCCAAGGACTTTTTGGAAGTGTGGGGGCAAGAGAAATTTTAGACTGTGCTGTGCTTGCAAAGGTTAGGATCAGAATGGAATGATACTTGCTTTTGGAGGCATCATGGTTCATACATCCCTTTTTGGCACGTTTCTGTTCCTGAAATACTGTCATCTAGAGTGAAATTTGGACATTTCCTAAACGCTAGTCTTTAGTGATCCTTTTGGTCAGTTTGTCAGGACACCACTTAACTTTATTTTTAATTGTATGGTCAAAAGCCTTTTGATATTGTGATGTCATTTACCAGTCTCCCATCAAGGGAACTTACAGAGGAAGAAAGATAAGAGTGAAGTCATGGCAAGCTGGAATGCTGTGAGTGTTATCTCTGACGAGACACATTGCCCTTGTGTTGCTGACTCCTGCCCTCCTCCCCTCTCCTGTTGAGATGCACTTTGAAGAGTGTTCAGAGGAACTTGGAGATGAGCAGGGAATATATTCTAACATTTGGTCTGATGGAACTGGACAGAGTCCAAAGCCTCTTAAACATGGAACCTAATGCTATTTGAGATGCCATAAGTTATCCAACACCATGCATACAGATTTGTGGATGTAACACTGTATACAGAGAAGATATGTGCCCTTATGGACTGATACCTCATTAAGGAAAATACTGGAGGGCATCTCAAATGGCACTAGATGTCTATGAGGAACAGGATCAAGCCTTGGATGACTTGCAAGCACAGAAAAGAGAAAAATTTTAGAAAAATGTACTCGACACTTCGTGATTACAGAGATAAAGCTCCTGATTCATACAGGAAGTGCTGATAGTACCTTTTTTATCTTCTGAAATAGCTGCTTAGTAAAGCTTACAGTAGCTAAAAAATAAGTTTTCAAAAAGTTCAGGTATAATACTTAACAAACCAAAAATTCATCAAGACTATGTTTGTTTTGTATTTTACTTTGTGAGGTGCTGTTAGCAAGCTATTGACTTTCATACTTCATCACACCAAATTTGGTATTTGTCCTCAAATTCAGTAAGGCTTAAGCTGTGGAATATGATTTTCTAAGGCTGTGATCTAATGTGACATTGAGTTCACATGGTGTTTCATCTATTACTTGTTTTGGTTGATAGTATTGCCAACAGGGGGAGCAAATGCATGAGCATTAATGGAAGACAGCATTCAGATGAATTTAATGGTTTTTTTAATGCTTGTTTCTTTCTTAGCTTTCTTTTTTCTTTTCCTGAGGGACTATGTGATTGAGTCATACTTATGTTCTCTGTATTTTTTGGAAGATACGCCACACACAATCATTTAGAGAAGTTTATTATTTCCATGCTGTATCAAATGATGAATTCTGTAAAACTATTAATACATAATAATTCTCCTATTTTGTTTATTGCTTGAAATGAAGACTCCCTATGTGTTTCAGGTTCCAAAGTGACAAAAATTGAAGCTACAGTAGTGCCCTGTACACAGATTTCCATGTCATTTTTTGATCGGTTATACTCTGAAGGAGTTGTTAGAGAAACTGGAGATATTGTGAAATGTTATGATGACCATTACGATGATATTCTCATCTCTGATGAATTAAGAAAGGTCAGTATATCCATTAATAATTTCTTGTAATTTTTCATACTGTATTAGGTACCATAAGGACACGTTTTTCAGTATTTTTTTCTTCTGACAATACATACTTTCTGTGGTAAAAATGGGCATGATAGCTGTGTAATAGGAACTACTGAGGCCTGGAAATGCCTGAATATGTGAAAACAATGGCTGTTTTCCATGTGGGCCCTCTTTCCTTTTTAGGTGGGAGAAAAGGCTAAAACCTTCTTCTACCCACTGTTGTCTCAGTTAGTCAGTGCATGGGTGGGAGGTGATGCAGCGACTCATTTGCCTAAGAGGAGAAAACAAGTGGTGCCAGTGGAAAGGTCCCATGATACCCAGAGCTGCATCTTCACCCAACTTTCCAGGTAGTTGATGAAACTGAATGTACTCAATAGCTACATTCCTGGCCAGGAATGTTGTCCATATCATATGAGAAGGCATTTAAGGAAAGGAATCTTCATATATTTTCACTGAAACAAAGGAAAGGAAACTATGAGAAGGGAAATTATTTTTCAGTGTAACATTGGAAAAGGACTGAACTTCTGAGCATGCCTGCAAGGTAAAAACTATTTGTTATACTCCAGTGGAGGTTTTAGAGAGTAGATTACTCGAAAATAATTTCTCCAACAGCGGCATCATCTTAACATAAGTCTTCACTGTAAGTATTTCTTTTGACTTCATAAGCAAACCCACTTTTTTTTACTTATGTTTGTTTAGCATTAGCAAAGCATAGTGTGGGAGAACTAGATTTTGCTCTTCCTTGTATATATAATCATCATAAGTACTTAATAATTACAGAGTTGCACTCATTTGCACTTGGCAGATCCTTTGAAGGCAATGTATTTGAACCAGTGACACTGGTTGCAGGATGTGGCCTGAAATACTGGTCTGTCTCGTAAAGTTCTGGGAAAAGCAGAGAACTCAAGCTCATGTTTGAGGTTCAGATGTGGTTTGTAGCCTAGCAGTTTGAAATGCTATGTATTTATTTATTCTGACAATTAGATATATTGGATGTAGGAAACTTAGAAGCAACATTTAAAATAAGAAATCATTGGAGTTTCAGTCTCTTTCCATTTTCCCTCCCATGAAGGGGTTGTGTGTGTCTGCTTTGCAAGCTGAAGGATTCATATTTGTTTGAAATGAATGTGATTCCTACTTGTAAGACCTAAGATGGCAGAAAGAATTAAGAGTCAAAACCTTCCAGGAATGACATCAAAGCTTCAGATTAAGTTTTTCAGCATCCTAGGATGGTAGACTGTAGGGGGCAGCAAACTGTCTGTCTGCTGGTGTCAAAGGGTGGCCCTCATCTGCAAAACTCCATGGAGCTTCCTTACCTATCCGGTCTTCTCTTGCTTCAACCAAGAATGGGATTGGGATAAGTATGAGGTGGTCATCAACAGCAGTTGCTGCCCTGACCCCTTTTTACTCAGGTTGTACAGTGATGCTATAAAGAGGGCCAAAGAGTCGTAAGTTCACGTCTAGCTTTGACCAGTTTGCCTTGGTTGATATCTGCAATTTGGCTGATGTGACTCAGATGTCTTGTAGCCATACTGAGTTACAATTCCTGTCCGACCTTACAGTGCACAGCGTTGGGACTAATCTAGCAAGTCCTCTGTGTTCACGTAATATTGCAGCAAAAGGCAGGTGACACACATGGGGGCAGCTGGATAGCACGTCTGGTTTATCCAGGCTACAGAGAACGTCTCGCTAGAGTCTGCAGTAAAGAACGATGAGTAATCTCCTCTGGGAGATTCCTTTACAAATGTGAGATAACTGTGTGAACTTAGAGTAAAAAAGCAAATGGAGACAAAGTTACCAAAGACAAACTAGTCGGCAGTGATTGACATACCAGTATAGCTAGACTCTTTTCAGATTATTGACTTTTAGCAGGATAAGCAATTTACCAGTAAATAACAAGACTCTTTAAAAGTCTTCCCTTATGTCTTGTGAGCGCAAATCTGACAGTGATACTGCTTTATGTTTTACCTATAAATTTTGAACATGATTGCATCATTGAAAGAGGGATTTAGAGAGAAGTACTTATTTCTTTCCATCCCTAGTCCATATATTTTATATGGATGTGAACTCTGTGTGACATACAGCAGAGTAGTTGCATTGTTTATAAACTTAATCTCAAATACAAAATTTTTCTCTATTTGACTTGTTATTTTCTTGTTCCACAAGGTCTTGCTTCTGGAAGATTCAGACCATTATGACTTATTCAGTCAGTTGGATCGCACAGAATTTCTGTTCTGTCTTTTTAAGCATCTTTGCATTGGAGGAGCTCTTTGCCAGTTTGAAGATGTAATTGGCCCATACTTAGAAACTACAAAAGCATTATATAAAGACTTGGTGAGGTGAGTGTTTTCTGTTTTATACAATTCTGTATGTATGTGCCATGCATAGATACTTTGTGTCACTTTGTGCAAATTTATTGTGCATTACTGCTTCAAAAATGGGGCTGTTACTTAATCAACCTGCAAGCTTATTTTTCTTCAACTATCAAAATATCATGTAACAATGGTAGTGGTTCAATGGCAAAATATTAATGACATTTTAATGACATTTGTCCCACATAGAAACTTTTTTAGTATTACATATATAGACATTGATGGTTTATAATTCACTCTCATTTTAAAGATCTTTCTTTCTGTAATCATTTACTGAAAACCTGACATGGCATTGGAACCAGAATACGTTCCCATGGTCATTGATAAAATATCAACAATTAAGTGTTAGATGTATAGTCTTGGACTACTTTCAAACTGCTTTTGGCTTAGGATTTAAAAATTTAAGTACTTAAGTTGAAATTGTTATTTCTGTATAAATTTTATCCCAGCTGATTATTTTTTTTTTAAATACAGTTTGATTTTAGCATTCTTAATTCCACAAATACACGTCTCCCAGTATAAATAGAATAGATAGAATCTGCCTGTTAACATGACATGGTGGACTAACACACATTTTTTGCCAGGTCTGGTGTATGGAATTGTTTAGAATTTTATGTATTTTTTTCCATAAGATTAGAGGTGATTGATCAGAGGTTCAAATTCAGAAAAAAAACCAAAACCAGTTTTTCCCTGTTTTGGTATATCTGTATGCTAACTTGTCCAAATGACAAAAATCCTTATTTTCTGTTTAGTAGGCAATGGAATGTAGTTATTGGTTTTGCAAAAACTCATTCCTAGCTAAGCTAATGGCAATATGAAAATCATCAATGATAGTACTAAAGTTGTACATTAGATTACACTTTGCAATGGAAAACAATTTCAGACCTCTGAAATGAGAGATAGTACAAGAACTCTGATAATGTGGATACTAAATAATGCACCACAATGTACGCTGCAAGGGCTTCAAATTGCTTAGAGTAGCAGCTGATATTTTTCTTCCTTCTTAGCTCTATATGGAATGGTGTGATGACCAATTGTTATTTTGTCTATATGTCTTTGGATAAACTTAAGAGTAAAATTTGTATGTCTGAACAAAGGTACAATGAAAGGATTTGATCCAATGATTCTTAATTACCTGAATATTTCTTTACTTCTGTAGCACTTATGTATAGATTGCTGTATCCAAAAAAAAGATTTGAAATTAAATATTTGTCTGTTTTTTTGAATTTTTTGTAATACTTAACCAAAGAAGCTTAAAAATCTTTAATAACTTTAAAACAGCTTTCAGATTTTCTAATGGTCAGTACTTTTCAGGGTGCAAGTTGATTTAGTCACGTGCTGTTTCCCAGGGTCATATAGAAGAAATGATTAAAGTAGTAGTAATACTTTCAGAGAAACCACTGAAACAGAGAAATTGAGCTTTATCAATATTCCAAGGAGATTTTTTAGAAATAATGAACTTAGGTTGCTGCATGTACTAATTTGAATACTGTGATTAGTCAACAGAGTTTTCTTATTAGTGTGATTAGTTTTGATATTTTCATGTCATACCTAGAAGAAATCAAGTGAGTTCTTGAGAAATACAGACTATGACATAAAAGGATCCATCAGTGGATGGATCTACCCTCCCTTTTATTTTAAATCATTCACTCTGCACTTGAAACAAGCTGTTGGTTTCTCTAATCCTTGGCCTTAGTTGACTCTGCATTGACTACAGCTGGTTCTGCTCTTGTGTTGTTGAATTGGCCTAGGACAAAGCGCAAATCCAATCAGTTCCTTCACTTTATCCTTACCATTACTGTTGAATTGTTTTCTCCTAAACATGTTCAAGTTTTGTTCTAAGCCACTCCTTTTCTTCACCTTCCTATCTTCTTAAATTTTTCTCCCTTCTTTTTTGTTTTCCTGCTGTAAAATTCAACAAGGGTGTCAAATAATTCTTGTTACTTAAAAAAAAAGAACATCTGCTGAAATTTAAAATTTTATCCTGCTTTCTAGGTTTGCTTTTTCTATACCTTTAACCTGTTTCCTATTGTCCCTTTATATATTTCTGTAATTTTTCTCTTGTGTGTTAGTTCTGTCCTTTATACAATATCAGGAGAAAACCTTTCAAAATCCATTCCTCTTTTATGCATTTGGATGTTTGTTTTACTGGGTTTTTAAAATTATTTTTTTATTTTGTTTCCAGTTGGCAGCTTGCTTTCTATCCTCCAAAGTTTTGAAGTACATCTACTCACTTCATGTGACGTAATTGTTCTTCAATATTTATCTACCATGTCTCTCTCCATTTCTGTGCCTATAAATGTCTGCTGGCTTCTCACTGCCAGTGGAGCTGGTGTTAGCACTGACTAGCATTTGAACAAGAAACTCACAATTTAACTAAAACTTTTATCTTGCTCCTTTGATATTCTCTGTTGGTCCCATGAGAAAAGCTTTTGATCTTGACACTTCAGACTTTCCCTCCCCCTTCAGAATCATGGTTGTCTCCTGCTTTGTCTCATTCTCCCCTGCCCCCAGTTTATCCAAAGTGATGTCGCTGTTTTGTTACCACCCTCTTCAGAGAGAAAAACACAGTGAAAGGATAAGCAACGCAGCTCTGAAGAGGGGCATTCACGCCACAGTCTTGACTTAATCTCTGATTTCTAGACCATGCTGTGTGGTGTGTTACCTGCTTCATTTTTGCACAAATTGCACCAGAAAATAGAGCAATGAAAACTACTTTCTTATGGCCTCTTAGTTTTGGTAAACTAATGAGGGTAGTGGTCTTGAATTCTGCTTGCCAAAGAGTTCGCCATCAAGTTCCTGTTGAAAACCAACTTTTCTTTAAATTCTTCTTTTCTAGACTGCTGTCCTCCTTCTGGTTTCTTTTAATCTTGAATCGCAGTCACATTGGATACTTCCTACTTTTTGTAAAGAGATATTAAACTTTTTTTTGTATTATTAAAAAATTCTGTAATCTGTACTCTTCTTAAGCTTTAATTTTTATGTCTCGAGGGCTCATGAATCTTAGTGAAAAACAAATGGATAGTACAATAATTATTACCTGCTAGCTGATATGCATTGAAAAGTTAGCCCCCACAGATGAACTTGGTCGGATCATTATATGCCTGTAGGAGTATGAACCACCACTGTTTGGCCCTGTACCAGTTTTTCTTATGGAAAAAAGCTTTGGCATGAAGAGTTCCACAGAAGTGTCTCTAATGCCAGGAGTGGTAGACATATTACGAGCTCTTCCCAACTTTTCTTTCTTACAGTCTGTCTTTTGACCTTTCCTGAGTTCTAACTCCAAGGCTATAGTATTCAAAACAGTGTGGAAAGGTTTGAGATTTCATTTTATTAAAGTGTTTCCGTGTATTTTGCTTTATTATAATCTTCTGAAATTAACTGCTCTAGATATTTCACAAGCACAGCTAGGGACTTCCAAATACAACGATTAAGTGACAGACGTTTTCTCCTTTGTAAAAAGAGTAATAATTACTTCCTCATGAATTAATGCACAACTTGTTGTCTATTACTAATCCAGCAATAATTAGTCTGTGACCAGTTGAATCCATCCAGTATTTTAGCATTGTGTGGTGTCCTGTGTTACCTAAATAATTTCAAAAACCTTGTAGTATTTTTGGTTTAGTTAAAGAATACATTTACATGACAAAAACTTGTTAATTAAAATATAATCTGTGAATCTTTGTTGATAAATCTTGTCTTCTTTACTTAACCCCTCATTTTTCCGACTGTCTTTCCATGGTGACAGCTGCTATAGTATCTTGTAATCGTTGTTCTCCTTCCTTCTCTGCCATCTCCATGCCCTTTTCCCTGTAACAAATGAATTTATGTGAAAGCATTGACTTGTTCTTTTAATGTTTGGAAAGCCTAGTAAAATATTGCCAGTAAGGTCAGGATATAAATAGAACTCAAAGTGAATTGAGAGACAATGAGGAAGTTTGCTTTTCATAAAAAGAGAATAGATGCACATTAAAATGATGAAGGAACTATCGTATTCTATGAATAGTTTAGAAGTTAACAATTTGAAAGAACAAAATGGGTATTAAGCCTATTTTTAAGGAAATACTGTCCTCTTCAAGAAGACAAGGTAGTTTTTTCTAAAACCTTTCAGAAAAGAAAAAAAGAATTGGAGCAAACGAGCTTGTCAAAGGCAACGTCCTGGTTTCTTTCAAGTCAGCAAGGGAAGAATCTCATCTGATTTTGGCAGATACATTATTTTGCCTTAAAAATTAACCAAAGTACTAGAAATAAACACTCAGTCTGAAAAATTACTTACAGGAAGCTAACCACAAGGGGAAAATTTCTCAAGACAGTGGAATAAATAGGAAGACTTACTCTCTGTCACCATTGACTTTGGTATCCTATATGTATATAAAACAGAAAAGTTAAGAAACCAGAAATTAGCAGCATTTTTTTCAGACATAAGAATATTAAGCCAGAGAAACTTAAATACAACTGTAGCTTTTGTGGTAGTGATATATGGCAGAAAGTGTTAATCCTACTAACTCTCTATACCTTGTTCTGAAAGTTGTCCCTCTTTCAGCAGCAATGCTTCAACAGTTCCTGTACTGCTGCAGTTTACAGCTGGGTACGTTAGCATAAACTGACATCCATGTGAGTTTATCTTAATATGCTGGTCTGTAAACTGCAGTGGCTCCGAAGCTGAGTCATGAACCAGTTGAGCTGTCCCTGCTGGGAAGGCAGTAATCTCTGGAGGGGTGGTAAGGCAGACAACTGGGGCCAGTACCAGTTTCAGCAACGCTGTCTTAATCCACTGTTGAGTATATCAACATGTCAGTTGCAACAAAAAAATCCTGAGAAAGCCTGGTTGCTGACTCACCACAGGAAAGATCAACTTCACAGTATAAGCTTAATTCAGACATTAATTCAGTCATCACTCAGCAGATGAAATCAGTTAATTGGAGTCAGTGTCTTTTATTGGTTGGAGAGATTGAATCAACAAAGATGATGTTGGCTGATATGGGGTTTATTTGTCCTTATAAAAGGAAGCTTCATAAAAGCAATGGTAATAGGGGACTGCAGTCACAGTGGAGCAGCTGGGCTGCATTTAGCACACATCCTTGAGCAACTTGGCTATATTGGGACCTTTCCTGGGAACTGAGCCTGCTTGTGACAAGGCAGGTTTTGAACTGTATAAGTATGGAATTTATAAGGCTCAACTGCTCCATATTGAGTTAACGTAAATAGGAATCTGTGAAATTAGATAAATTAATAGAAGTTACATGATCTAATTCATGAAGAAATGTAAGCATCATTGAAAGGAGACCTGAGGAAAAATTACACATTTAAAACTACTCAAATTTAAAATATGTTGAGATGCCTGGATCTTTTGAAATCTCTTGGTGCTATTAGTAACTGTTATGGAAGAGATGACGATCTTCATGACCAGCACAGTCTAGAAATATAAAAAAATCAAAATTAATACCATCCTAAGTTGCACAGCTGTCTATAGATATAAAACATTCCAAAGGAGTAAAAATCAACCTAGACTATAATTCTATATTAATTAAAAAATAACTAAAGTCTGCATTTCTTCACCAGCACCGCTGCTGCTTCTTGCAGTTCATATTAAGATGCAGTTCACTTTGCAGGCTTTTTTTCTTAAAGAGTGTGTGAAAAGATTTTTACAAAATGTTTGGCTGAATAACTTTTCATAGCCATGAAAATGCAAACATTATGTGGATTCATCTAGGCCTGAGTAAATACTGCTGTGATTTAGTAGCTGAAAACAGTGAAACAAACCCAGAAGACTGGATATTTTCAATAGTCCTCTCCTCCTAGAGAAATAGTATTCTCTAACAATGGTCAATGTACCTTTTCATGGTCAATGTGACATGAGCTGAATTTTAACTATTAATTTGAACTTGATCAAATTTGCGTGAGACCACAGTGCATATGTTGAAAAGGTATTTACTAAATGAAGAAATCTAATAATCAGTGCTTGCTGTATGTATAAAGTATGTATTATTCCCCTATATTTCAGTGTTCAAAAGAATCCTGAAACAAAAGAAATACATGTTATTTCTACAGTCTTCAGAGTGTCTGCATATGTAAGTATTAGTAATTTTTTGGTACAGGATTTTACTAGAAGTAACATGCATAACATGAAAATAACAAATTGACGTTTACACAAAGCATAATATTCCATTTTAAAGGGTTATTTTTCCATAGTTGTTGTAATTTTTTATTCATTAACTCTTTCC